GAATTATTATAGTGATGAATCCTGGAATCTAAGTTGAGGATGCAAGAGGGGTGACACATGGTAGGAAAAGTGTAGTGTCAAGAAGTTAGGGGTTTGACTGTGCCTAGATACTCTATGGTACCTGGAAAGGACTCAGGATATCACCCCAGATCCCCCTAATCCCCTCTAAAACCTAAAGCAATCTTATCTGTAGCCAATAAAAATGTCCTCAGTCCAGAGTACATTACTTTTCTCCTTAGGTGGTTTTGGCTATCACTTGGACACCTGGAAACCCTTGCTCCTACTTTCTCCTCTCCTTTCCTTTCTACCCCTCTCCCTCAGGGTCCAAGATACACTCCGTTTGAACCAGAGGGTCTCGCTTCATACCTTCACCCCATAAGTCTGTGCTAGTGAGATTCACTTTGGATCCTCACATTTCCAGAGGGAAGCACCAAAAACCCGAGCTTTTTTCTTGCTTAAATGGATTACTTCTTATGCATAACTTTTCTCTATGCTGGAAACCCCCATTCCCACCAGGGCTAAAGGTGGATAGGGGGTGGAAATGAAGTCTAAAGGGAGCAGAGAGCCTCTTCCCTGCACTTAAATGCAGTGCTTTCATCTTTCTAGTCTATGTTTATGCATATTCTATTAACATTAACTAGAACCCACTCTGTGTCAGTGCTTCTGATTTTGACAAACAACTTCATTCTTGTAGACTGTGTTTTTCTTTAGTCTTTATGCTTTCAGGTGAGGAGACGCATCCTTTTGGTTGACCTCCATTAGCTCCCCCAGTCTCATCCAGCAAATCACTATCCACTTCCCTCTGGGGACCATGTGTGAACCCAGCCTACTAGCAGAAATTTTCAGAATGTGTGCTTTCTCTCCAGCATTCAACTTTGAAGGTGCTAAACTATTTATTGGCATTTTTGGTGGCTCGTATGGTCAAGAATCTGCCCACAATGTGGGAGACCCAGGCTTGATCCCTGGGTCAAGATGATCCCCTGGAGAAGGGAATGGCTACCCATTCCAGTATTCTTACCTGGAGAATTCCATGGACAGAGGAGCCTGGTGGACTCCAATCTATGGGGTCACAAAGAGTAGGTCGTGACTGAGCAACTCACAGTTTCACTTTTGGATGTAAAATGGTTTAAGTTTACGTCTTTAGGAATGACCCACAGTGAGGTCCATGGCTCCTTTCTAAGGCCATGACTCAGCCCTCAGAGCCCTCCTTTTGAATTATTTCAGATATTTTTTATCCCTGAATATATAACCTGACCCTTACCCATATTAACTTAATCTGCCATCCATGCCCACACACAGATTCATAAGTGCCCCCTTATGAATCTAGCCCCATCCACTTTGTGCTTCACATCCAGGAAGAAGTTAATGCCATTCCCAAACTGTATGGCTAAGAAAAATGACATCATTCTGAAATTGGGAAATATTACCTAGACTTGATCTTCCTGTTGCTTCAGAATTACTTAAAATCTGAGCTCTGCTGATGACTCAGACATAGAGATGCCAGTTTTTATTCACATGGAGTTCTTTGCAAGGAATTGATTGTCAAAGCCTTCTCATAACCCTCACACTGTTGGCCCATTCTGGAGCAGACTCTTATCTCTGACCTTAGCCATTGACTAGTGGGGATGCTGAAGGGCCCTATAGAGAACTGATCACCATGGAGTAGTTTGTGGGAGTCCCTGAAGGGTGGTATAAGGAGCAAGGGCTATAGCATCAGGCCAACCTGATCTGTTGACTCTGGTCTCCTGCCTTCTGGTCATGTGGCCACAGTCAGGGCATCTGACCTCTCTCAGCCTTGGTTTCCCTGTTCTCAAAATAAGGCCCAATAATAGTGTTCAGTTCAGTTCAGTCGCTCAGTCGTGTCCGCCTCTTGAGACCTGACTCTTGAGAAACCTTTATGCAGGTCAGGAAGCAACAGTTAGAACTGGACATGGAACAACAGACTGGTTCCAAATAGGAAAAGGAGTACATCAAGGCTGTATATTGTCACCCTGCTTATTTAACTTATATGCAGAGTACATCATGAGAAACGCTGGGCTGGATGAAGCACAAGCTGGAATTAAGATTGCCGGGAGAAATATCAATAACCTCAGATATGTAGATGACACCACCCTTATGGCAGAAAGTAAAGAGGAACTAAAAAGCCTCTTGAAAGTGAAAGAGGGAGTGAAAAAGTTGGCTTAAAGCTTAACATTCAGAAAACTAAGATCATGGCATCTAGTCCCATCACCTCATGGGAAATAGATGGGGAGACAGTGGAAACAGTGTCAGACTTCATTTCTGGGGGCTCCAAAATCACTGCAGATGGTGACTGCAGCCATGAAATTAAAAGATGCTTACTCCTTGGAAGGAAAGTTATGACCAACCTAGATAGCATATTAAAAATCAGAGACATTACTTTGCGAACAAAGGTCTGTCTGGTCAAGGCTATGGTTTTTCCAGTGGTCATGTATGGATGTGAGAGTTGGACTGTGAAGAAAGCTGAGTGCCGAAAAATTGATGCTTTTGAACTGTGGTGTTGGAGAAGACTCTTGAGAGTCCCTTGGACTGCAAGGAGATCCAACCAGTCCATCCTAAAGGAGATCAGTCCTGGGTGTTCACTGGAAGGACTGATGCTGAAGCTAAAACTCCAATAATAGTGTTAGATAGTTAGAATAGGGAAAAGGAGTCCAAAATGGTGGTGGCTAAAAAACAGGAAGGGAAAAGCCTGCGAAAATAGCGCAGAGGAAGGTCAAAGGAAGGTCCCAGGACTGGAGTGAGGACTTCAGGTAGAACAGCGCTCCTGCCTAAGCCCAATTTGCATAGGATAGGCCCAGGGGGGAGGAAAAAACATATAAAAAGAAGAGCCAAAGCTCTCTCTCTCTCTGTCTCCCCCCTGCACAATGGGGTGCTCTTCTCTTCACGTCTTTGGATCGATGTGCCCTCACGCCTCAAAGATGGATTTTCCTGCCATTATCTAAATAAAATAGAGCCTTAACACTGAGCTGTAACACTGATTTATTTAAGAGCTATAACATGGTGTGTCCTGTGAGAGCTGTGACCCGCCGAGGGGGCTTTAATGTCTGTCACTCCAAATTTTTGTTGTGACGAGACAACCGAGGAGCATACACTCGCCTGACAATAGTATTTATTCATAAGGTTGCTGTAAGAATCGAGTGTAATCACACATTTAAATCACTTACCACAATGCCTAGTCCATGTGTGCTCAGTTAGCATTATTAATTCTTTAAAAGTCTTATAACCTCAAGCCTGCTCTTAAGTAGACCTGCGTGATCTTGGACCTCAATTCTCTCAGCCCCGTTGCCCATCTATAAAACAGAGTTGATGTGAGGGTGAAATGAGGTGGCTGCTCTCTCAAACTTACTAGTGTAGCGTCTGATTTCTTTCAGTGCATTCCTCTGAACCATTTTGGAGAAATGCTACAAAAGATGTATCTAGGTACCAACCAATTCAACTCATTTCTCTTTAGATCACATGTGAGAGAAAATTCAAAAAAATATTTTCTAGGTACTCAGGCCAGCACTTCCAACTCCAGTCTTTGGAAGGCATAAAGAAGAGTGTTTCTTTGGAAGGAGAGTATAGAATGCCCATTCTGTTCTAGTTACAGGGACAAGTGGGCTTCACGAAAAGGCAGCTCCTATAGATAAAACAGTGGAGTAGTTGGGAAACAAAAGGCTGCTGGGACCACTCAGAGCAGTGATTTCCTTAAAGCATATGCAATATGCGTATTATTAAGGGAATACTATAAGGGGACTGAAGACATAATAGGGCCTGGAGGAGCGCATGCTGGAAGTGATGTGGAAGAATCTGCAAAGCAAACAGGCTGAGAAATGCTTCTGCTACTGTTGCTTCCTTTTCTTTTTTCTTTTCTTCCTCTACTTCCCCTATGTGAAATCACTCCAGGTGGTTTAACAATTTCTGTTTGAGTAGCAAGCCAGCCCACTCATGGTAGAGCATGGCCTCTTGAGGTCAGGTAAACCTGGCTTCAGTTCCTGATTCCATCATTTGCCCTCTAAGCCTCAGTTGTTGCATATGTAAAACTGAGACAGTAATGCTTATCTCAGGGAGTCATTGTGAAATTATGTGAGTTAAGAGCCTAGCATGGTGCCTCATCCATGGAAGCTGCAGAAGAAATTCAAGTTCCCTTCTTTGCCTCCTGCCCACACTCAGCCTATTTCCTAAACAGGTAGGCTCAAACTAGTCAAACTGGTTCTTCTTTAACAGAAAAAGCTTTACCTGCCTTAAGACATTAGCAAATAGCAATTGGGTTGGGGATTTCTGGGAAGAACTGCATAAGAGCATGCAGCCTATGTTCGTTTGATTTGTAGATATATTATAATTACTTTTCACCACATGAAACCCACTTGAGGTACTTTTAAGCAAAGGAATAATGGTGCTTTTACTCTTTTTCTCTCAATTCTTCTTTCTCTCATGCAAATCAGAAACATTAATCCTTTGTAGCTCCCCTGGACTCTCACCTATAGGAAAACTCATCACCTAGCATTTCCCCCCCTGAAAATAGCATAATTGTCAAAACTCATAACTTCTGAGTGCAGTTTCAACATTCTTATTGATAAGGCAATAACCCAAGCAAACAACATTAGATGAAGTTACAAGTCTGAACATAAAGTAGAATGGAGGCATTATTTGAATGCGATGAATTAAAATTCTCTGTAAGTTGCTCAAATTCTCATAGGCAGAACACACTTTGGATAGAACTATTAGACCAAACCATTAAGTAGCCTGGCTTCTAGTTCTTCTAACAGACATCTTTGGCATGGCCTAGTCACAAGATGCAGACTTCTTAGATCTTACTGCCCATGATAGAAAATGTGGATTGAGGTCAATTCAATCTACTAGTGGCTCAATCTTTTTTCCCCTCATTTTCCAATTGATGTCATGAAAGCTCCTCTGAATTTTCTTTTATAAGCCATATGAGTGACAGCTAAAAGACACATCCCAAGCACAAAGATCAGTATTCTCTCTTTTTTTATGTTCAGGTCAGAGCTCCTTGGAGTCACCAACAAACCTGCCTTCTCTTCCTCCCAATTCTTTTGCATGGAATCTGACCTGGATGATGAAAGATTCCTTCCCTTTCCTGTCTCATCGCAGCCGATATGGTAAGTATATTTTGATAGTTATTTGTAATGTATAGTCACCATCTCATAATTAAAGAAGCTGTGAGTTGCAATTAGTGATGTATGGCTTATCAAGAAGGAAGTCTTTCTGTGCCCTTAGTCTTCCATTGACAGCCATCTCCATAAGACCATTGCCCCCAGGCCTGTCCTCTCCAGACTGACAGCTGTCTTATGTATCCTGAAGGAAGCCAAAGGCTTTATGGCTGCCACATCGTATCCCAGCTGCCTTTATGTGTGTGTGGTATTCCTGACTGCCCTTACCCACCATGAGATGTAATGTTTGTTTGCATTTTGACTGTGGCTTTCTAGATACATGGTTCTAATCCATCAGTGTCTCTATAGTGATCTCTTGAGAGAGGATTATTATGAGGGTCACAGGTCTTCTGGGGCCCCTCAAGTGATTCCCTGACATCTAGGTACCTCCTTAAAAGTACCCAGACATGTTCCTAGATATTATTTCAGTTCCTTTGATTCTGCAACAATTTTGGAGATGAGGACAGGTCCCATTTCATTTTTACAGATGCAGAAACTGAGCATAATAAGATCATACAAAGTGGATTTTCTAACTACAGAAGCAGAATTCTTCCCTTCACTTTTTCTCCTAGGGAGCTACCTACTCACACTGTTAGGCTGAGGCCAGAATTACATGGTATAGCATTCCTCATTCTCTGTGCTCATCTTGATAGTTCACAGAAGCTGGGCCTCTGCAGAGGAAAGGGAAGGTTTGGAGGAGAGCTAATGTATTTTTACTTGGACATTTTTTCTGCTATTGAACTCCGCTAGGGTGAACCCTGTGAGGGCAGGCACAAAGTTCTGTTTGCTTCCCACTTTAGCCTATCACAAAGAAGAAATTCATAGAGGCTCGTCCATGATAAATGAATGCAGAGGCCTTCAGGGATGGAATTCACTCATCAGGCCTGATTCAATTAAATACTTATGAACCTAGTACAACACTGAGTTCTAGATTCCCTTCTGGGCATATTTGCCTATTCTTGCCACTCGGTTTCTGCCCTTGGGCTTGAGCTTTTTAAAGTGCACCTAACAGAGATCTTCCATGTACTAGTGTTCCCATTTGTAAAGCAGTGAGTCTGGGTTCAGATTAACTGTTTCAAACTTAAAAAATAAATGCATCAAAACCCCTAGGGCAGTTTAGAATGGTACACTTCTAGGATGTTTCCTGCTACTCCTAAGCTGCCCCTGGTGGGAAGGGAAGGTCACTAGTTTTCGGGAGATTCCAGATAAAAATTACTTCTTGATTTTATTTAGGCCAGACACTGAGTGCCATCTTAGGATAAGAACAGGTGTTTATAAATAATTGAAATCTGGTTCTTTGTACTGTTATTGCTTCATAAACCCAGATTTGTGATAGAAGCAGTCTTTGGATAATGCTTTTGTGTTTGCTCTCAAAGTCACTCAGTATTTCCACAACTTTTATAAAATGTAATGTCCAAAAAAGTCAGGTCTGCCTCTTGCATGACACAGAGAGCATTGCATTTATTCTCTCTGGAACATCCAAAAAGAGGTTTCAGGTTAAAAGAAGAAAACCACTGGAGCTTATTTAAACTGCTAGCTGCCCACTGTTTGACTCTGATATACCTACTTCCTCTCCCTGGGCCTCCCCTTTCTCATGTATAGAATGAGGGTGGCATGCCCCAGGGGGGAAAGGAATAGATAAGGGCAATTCCCAGGATTCCTTTCAGATGTTCCTTGTAGCCTGGAATCCTCAGGATTTCCCTTCTTGGCAGAGGAGAGAACCAAAACCATCGGTCAGACATTGCCCAAATGCTCAACGAGGTACCAAAGTCAGCATCATCATTGCTATTGATTGACAGGGTGAGAAGAGATGATTCTTGGTTGGTGGCTCCTTGATTGAGTGCAGTGGTAATTTCAGAGCCTTTTCATCCTCTTCCTGTATTTAATTCAGCTGAGACCATAAGGAGTTAGCTGGCTCCACCACCATTTGTGTGAGCCTGGTCCCGTGCCACATGTTAGAGGTGATACAAAAACAAACACGAGTGAGAATTACCCTTCCTCTCTGAGTTCACTGGCCAGAGAAACAGCTCTGTAAGCAGTTCAATCCATTACTACAAAGAGCACCTCTGGGGCACAGAGGTTGAAGACTAGTCCCGAGACACACAGCAGAGAAAACTGAAGGCTGAGACTCCTGTCGCCTTAAGGATGTTTGCGGGGCTTAGCCTGTGTCTATGTACCAAAGAGGCCAGCAGGCTCACTGGTTATAAATTCACACCTTTCAACTGCCATGAAAGACATTTTAAGAAATGTTAACAACTTCATTAATTTTAAGACCTCAAACTTGGGCAGAGAAATTTGGCTGGAAAATTGCTGCCCGAAGGGATAGTTCTTCAGACAGGGAGAAGTAACTAAGACTCAGCAAGTCAATGTGGGCCCTGAGTGATGGAGCTTGGTGCTGGCTGGCTGTCCTCACCTGCATTCTGGGGCGAAGGTGGGAGGGAATGGCTAGTGGGGAGGTAGGAGGGGGCGGCAGTGGTAGGCTTCAGCAGTACAACCACAGGCATCATGATAGACAGTGGCAGCCAGCCCTCTCAGTCCAGGACTGAATTGAGCATGGCTTTCTTCTCCACTGGTGTTTTATGAGAAGAGACGAGGTGGATAGAGGCTAATAAGATTTACTCACCCTAGCCTATAATTATCTGCTTGAGGAAAAAGTTTGACCTACCTTTTTGAAGTCTCCCCATATTTCTTCTAATTTACGTTGGGGCCTTTTATGTTGTGTAAAATATATTCTTTTCAATGGCATTTGGTATCAGATTCCAGCTCTTTCTCATCTTGTCTTGAATGATGGGAGCTTGCTAATTTCATCATCAACAAACAGAGCTGCACATTCTTCCCTCAAGGCTTTGAAGAAGTGGGGGCGGGCGTATAAAGAAACAATTTTTTTTTTTCCTTTTATCATCCAGCTCTGATGCCTTAGGACTTATTTATATAGGCTTAGTTAAAGGACTGGGCTCCAACTCCGTACCCAGATAAAAATCTGTTTCATTTGGAAGCTCCAGGTAGTAAGAGATTGCAGGGTTTTGATCACCTTGAGTTCTAGAGCCACAAAAGCAGATCATATTCCCCCCAGCTTTAATTCATGTTTGCCATTCTGGGTTTAGGAAGAATCAGATCATGTTTTAAAGCAAAGTAACTAAAGTTTCTGCCCAGATGAGGATGAGAAAAAGAATGTTCATTTATTGGGAAAAGAGGTTTGATACTTTGCAAAACTTTCCCAGACCCCTCTTTCTCACTTAAATGTGTTAAAAAATTGTGGTGGGTGAAAATTATTTTATATCCCACTTTGTAGAAATGTAAACTGAGGGCTGAAGATATTTATTAACCATGTTATCAAGTTACTGAGCTGATGAGCATTAGAAGACTGAAGTCAGATTTTCTGACTACAAGTTGGATACTCCTTCTACCACATCAAAAAGTTATTTCAAAGGTGAAGTCCCCATTCTATAGAAAGGGCTCTCATTTCCTGGACAACCTGACCACTCAATGACCAATCTGATATCCAAGACCTGTACCAAGACTTGATGTCCCCAAATTGAGACTATTCCAGGGAAGCTAGGGTAATTCACCTCTTCCTAGATGTAAATGTAACCACCCCCAACCCAGGAGCATGGTCAGTCTTTCCTCCCCTACTATCGACTCTGGTTCACTATACCAACAAGGTATATTGAAGTCTTTACCCCCACTGTCTGTGAGTATGACCTTAGTTTAAAATAGGGTCTTCATAGATGCAGTTGAGTCCACACTGGATTAGAGTGGATCCTAATCCAAATATAAGTGATGTCCTTGTAAGAAGAGAAAGCAAAGATACAGACACAGAGACAGGGGATGAACATCATGTAATAATGGAGGCAGAGATTAGAATGATACATTTTCAAGCCGAGGAATGCCAAGAATCGCCAGCAACTAGGGGAAGTCATTGGACAGATTCTCTCCTAGAGCCTTCAGAGCATGGCCCTGTTGATGCCTTGATTTCAGACTTCTGGCCTCCAAAACTGCGAGAGAATAATTCTCTGATATTTGAAACCAGCCATTTTGTGGTGTTTTGTTATAACCGTCCTGGTAAAATAATGTAGTGCTTCATCCCTCCGGACCTCCAATGTCCAGATCACTGAATCCTGGAAAAGAAAGGTTCCTCCCAACATCTCAACATCAGAGCACAACAAAGTCATTGTTGGACTTTAAATAAAAGTTCTATTAAAACTTTGTCTACTTTCAAGCCCATCGGGACCCATTCAATTTAGGGACTGGTGTTTTTGGAAACAAAGAAAGATTAGACTTTTTAATTACTTCCCTTGCTGCTGCTACCACCATCACCAGTCTTGTTAATGTATCAATTTCTTTGATTGAAAAAACTGGGTAATTTAAATCTCTCTCTCTCTCAAAAAAAAAAAAAAAATCAACCTACCACAGAATGAAAAATGGTAAACAAAAAGCCCTCCAGCCCCCCGTGGGATACACTTCATAGCTCTGGCAGGAAGGCAGTTTGGTCACATTTCTGAAATTACATATGTAATGTGCCTGGTCATGATCTGACATACTGCCCTCAAGGGCCTGATGTTTTCAGTGAAAAGCAACTCCACAAGGGAGCCCCAGTGGACCCTTGTCACAGCTGAACGCTTTCTTACCAATTCCTCTGCCCTGATAGGCCAGGCCTTTTCCTGTTCTCTTCCCAGTCCACCGAGCCAGGAAGTCAAGTTCATTCCTTGTCTGTGCCTCTGTATTTTTGTCTATTACATGATAAGCACAAGGCTCTGGATGTAGTCACCAGAAAGACTGAGTCCTGTAGGGAACAGCAGTACCAGCGGTCATACAAGACCAAGAGCAGGGAACATCTGTCACCATGAGGACCAGTGACCTGCTGGGAACCAATGAGCTCAGTCTGTGGAAATCAAGTGGAAAGTAGTTGGCTTAGATGTTTTGAGGTAAGATTTGTTTAAAATGCTCTA